CACACTCAGATAAGATACAAAAACACCTGAGTCAGGTTTATTGTTCAATGAAATACATTAATAGTTGTCGGTAGCCAGATGGCTTCCAAGCCCCTAGGTATTTGTATCCGGGACGGTGGACTCGGCTCAATCAGTAATATGGATTTCACTATCACCCACCAAAGTTGGACAAAGAGTTAAATGAGGTACCCCAGTATTGATAGACTGAAATGAACAATCTATGATACACACCGTAAGTATCATCTTACACATTAATTATATGTTTGGTAACTCCTCTTGTATTTTCTTGCAAAGCATTGTTTGCTTTCATTCTAGTTGTTTCAAACTATTTTATCGTATATCAGCAGCTTGTCCCTGTACAGTCCTGACAGAATGTATTTACATATTTCATGTGCTTTTATCAGTGGTAGCAGTTCTAGTGCTAAGAGACACTGACTGCAGGTAAACATTTGCTTTTGACATAGACTGTCTATTACCTATTGTATAACTTTTGCTTACTTTGGTTCAAGCACCAGGGCCATGCTTCAGGCTATTTCTTTCTCCTACATCTCTCTCTCTACCTGTACACATCACATCACACTCTTGGCTCATTGCTCACAAATACAAAAAAATCCATTTGTCAAAGGAAAGAACAGCTCCCTCATTTTACATGTGGCAAACAACTGTTACCAAATACAGAAGCTTCAGGGGGTAGCCGAATTAGTCTGTACAGGATAAAATTAAAAAACAACAAAAGGTCTGGTAGCACTTTAGAGACTAACAAAACATGTAGATGGTATCATGAGCTTTCATGGCAGTGGGCTATGCCCACAAAAATTCATGATACCATCTACATGTTTTGTTAGTCTACAAAGCGCTACCAGACCTTTTGTAACTTTTTAAGTTTCTTTATGTTAGCAAGTAATCACAGTAAAAAAAGACATAATTATGTTGGAAATCACGTAAGTTTCAATCACATCATTGACATTCGTTGGGGTCAACTACACATTAACAAGTCCCAGAGGGGCAGCCATGTTAGTATCTGCAAAAACAACAAGGAGTCCTGTGGCACCGTCTTTTAAGGTGCCACAGGACTCCTTGTTTTTATAGATTAACAGACAGACACTTCTTCCTTTCCTGCCTCTCTTAAAGTATTCAAATCCTTCTTCCAAACAGAACGGACACACACACACACACACACACACACACACACACACACCTCCTAGAGCTCTAATCTTCTTCATTCCTCTCCTATAATTAAATTCACCCTGTACTTCCTTCTCTGTGTCTGCATCCGCCTAGCTCCCTATACGCTTCCTTCTCACTCAGACCCACCATTTTCTTACGAGAATTCTACTGAGAGGGAAACTTTCACTTAAGAGTTGTCTGCCACAACCTCTTATAAAACCCACAGGAAAAAAACCCAGTTCCTATGCTTTAACCATGGGGGAACTAGGCACAAATATATCTTGGCTCCAAAGTTCAAATTAGGATCTGAATTTTCTTCAAAGTTCAGCAGTGTTGGACTCCAGAGATTCAATTCAGCCCATTATGGAGGTGAAGACCAGCTGTAGGGTTTAGCACTGGATCCAGACTTCACTAAAGCTGGAACCATTCGGTATGAGATTTCGGTTTGAGTCCTTGTCAACATACAGTTGCTAATTTTGAAACCATAAGTGTTTTTTACTCATTTGATATTAGTAAAGTAGTACCATATGGCATTATCTAGCACATTTTATTTTAAAAAAAAAAATCTATTATGATATTCAGTGGAATAGAATGCATAATGCCTTGGAATGGCCTAAAACATTCACTGACTTTATCAGTCTAATATCAGAATGAAATGTATTTTTTTCCTCATATCAATAGCATGGTCATAATAAGTACTAGAACGAACTAAAACTAACTTTTCAGATGTAATAAGAGTTTGGGCTGGATTGTTGGAAGGCCTAAGATTACAGGCAGTCCCCGGGTTACGTACAAGATAGGGACTGTAGGTTTGTTCTTAAGTTGAATTTGTACATAAGTCAGAACTGGCATCCAGAATCAGCTGCTGCTGAAACTGAGTTTCTCTGCCCCGGGCTTCCTGGAATCAGCCGCTGATCAGTTTCAACAGCGGCTGAATCTGGATGCCTGGGAGAGAGCAGCTGGGGCTCTGCCGGGTATGTCCCCACAGCGCTGCACCTCGGCGCTGCAGGGACCAACCCGGCAGCACCCCAGCTGCTTTACCCCAGGTGTCCCCAAGTAAGCTGCTGCTGAAACATCACAGTGGCTGATTCCAGGAAGCCCGGGGCAGAGCAACTGGGGGGCTGCT